CAAGCATGAATTTAGATTTGGATTAGCCTGTTGTATGAATCCAGTCACTGAGGTTTGTTAACTGATATTTATCACTTAGTGCAATGTGTGAGTGTAACCAATCGGTAATCTATGATTAAACAAATCATGCTTTAATGCAGTATGGGAACCTAACCCTTGTTTTCTCTCATTTTGAAATGATTCTACTTACCAATTTTCTAACTTTAGCTGTGGTCTACATGAAAATGGATCCAGGGTTAGTCATATCTAGAGTAAGTCTATGGAAATCAATAGGACATTGGTTATGACTAACTTAAGTTTTGTTGATTTCAAAAGCCTGCTCTAAATAACTCTCAGTTAGGATTGAACCCATTAAGTACTATGGAGAACCACCATGATAAGCTTGCTTTCAAGTTACTGTGAAAGAATATTACAGAGCCTCCACCTGGTAGCTTCCTCAGTCTTTAGCTAGCTCTGTTCGACTGGACCTTCACTTATATTATTATAATTTCCATCTGATTATTAACATACTCTTTGCCTTTTTAAGCAAAGTAAGGCAAAATATTCCAGTGGATGTATTTATCAGTCTAACCTTTCCTTCTGAAAGAGTTATAACAGTTTGATTGACATGATTGTGGGCCTGTGTGTCCTACCGTGCAACAGTTTCATGGATTTCAGCCTAGTTGCCCTCATTTGGTCAATGTTATGAGTCATGAACTCCACAGGCTCTGCCAGATCTTTAGAGATGACGTTGCAGTTGTCTTATTCATTTCAATCTCAGAAAGACTGATATTTTAACAGCATTCTGCAACATGTTAGGTGCAGTTACCCAGCTTAGCTTATCCAGGTTCAACACTGCTATTTATTTCAAAAGAATCAGGAGCCTGACCTACTTCTACTTCTTTTGCAAAATTTACTTTCTTCTGTTTGTGAGGGTTGTAAGAGGGACGAATGATGTCTGGGCTCTCCTGCAAAATTCTAGGAAAGAAATAGGGCCATGGCACATCTCCTTTGGAAGCAAAAGAAAATGGTGGAGACGCAGAGGAGGATGTTGATCCATTCTTCTGTCTGATACTTTCCTTTACACGTCCTGCTAAAGGCAGTTATTCTTCTTGCCTGATGCATTTCTGGTTTCATAGCTCTGTGTTAGAAAAAAAGTTAAGTGTAAGGACAACTCTTTCAAATAGAACAAGAACCTATCTAGTTCAATATCCTTTTCCCTCAGTGGCCAGCCAGATGCCCTGGGTAGTCTCCAGGCAACATGTGAACCTATTGGTATCCCTTTACTATTATTCCTGAGTAACTGATCTTGAGAGTGGATGTCACATATAGTCATTATGGAGGAATATGTGTAGCCAAAAGGTTAACAATATGGCACCTCCAGTGGCCATTCCTTTTTTGGCTTTTTATATTAATTGTAGTAGGTCAACTGGATAGATCACATAGTGACTGTGGATGGAGAAGAAAGTAAAGCAAAGTGTCCACATCATTGCAGTTATTTGTCAGAACCAAGGAGATTACAAGAGGGACCTCTGCCTTGAAAGAAAATGAAATCTTTTTCCCTAAAACCTTCTAAGATTTTGGTAACCTCATGCCAGATCTCAAGAGATTTCTGTTCTTTATTTCAGGAGGGAGCCGGTCCTTGCACAATGATAAAAATAAAATGCCTGCCTTCAGATAAAATCATTACTGCAGTGCTGAAAATAGTGTATAGTTGTTGTACCTAGTAGTTGTTTGGGAAAAATGCTGTAGTGAGGAAAAAAGGTAAGTGCCAGGTTCCACTGAAAGGGGCCCCATCACCCTGTTTTTCAGCTGTTCAGTGCAAGCCATAAAAAACCCGCAGCTGTCACATGTAATTCCTCCCCCAGGAATAATCCCTGACAGATAATCCCGGCTGAATCTTTCTATTAACATGATTACTTTCTAAAATATACATCTGAAAGCAAAATATAAGCCTTACCCAGCAATTACTTGGCAATCTCATTATACACCCCATGCTTAGTGATCTTTGTCCGATCGTTTTATAAGTATTTATCTTTCTGTACACCCACTAGTCATTGCTCCTAGCATTTGTTCTCTGTGGTTATAGGATGTGTTTATTTTCCATTGTATTCACTGGAGTTTCTTACAGCAAAACTATTGATGCATGATGTGGAGTTTTTATGATATATGTCCACCAAAGTTTGTATACAATTACAGATAGATAAAGATTGATTAATTGATAGATTTTCAGCCAGCTTGTTCCAGAGCCTGATGCTGATTACAACTGAGAAGGAGTGACTGGCCCAAGGTCACCCAACTGGCTTCTGTGCCCAGGTGAAGACTAGAACGTGGGTGTCCTTGCGCCTCATCCACCACCACACTGGCTCTTTCCTATATATATCCAGTGACTTTTTTGTAGCTGACTTTAGTTTTCAAATTATGCCATGCTCTTCAAACAGTATAATTTGCCAGCTTTTGAGAAATCAAATCAAGCACTTACAGGTTTTCTATGCCAGCTAGTTTTTCCTGCCCTCTGTCACACTCAGCATTCCCTGACCCATGTTGCCATATTTAATCCAAACTGAAAATAAACCCAGTGCTTTGGATCAAGTATTTCAAACCTCCCCAATCAGTGCCCTCCAGAAATAATATAATATTCCAGATGTTCATTTTCCAATATTCCTAAATTTGGTTCTGAAATTGTATGACAAATAACTGCTGTGATGCTGATGCTTTTCTTTCTTTTTTAGCCATGAGTGCCACATGATCTCTTTGGTTGACCTACTATGGTTAATACATAAAGTGATTACACCAACAAAGAAATGTGATACCAGATATTGCAATGCAGAGATAAAAACAACCCCATTATATGAACCAAGGATGCATCTTGATGATTCATTGCTGCAAATGTTTTAAAACACTTCATGGTATTTAATGACTGAGAACTTTTGTTTAAATGTATAATACTGAGAGTTCATAATTTAAGAAACAAATTACAAATATGAGGGGTTAGTACACTGACCATTATTAAGAGTCAGTGAATATATAAGCCACTTTTGGTAGATCAGTCTGTTGATATTGTATTACATATATGTAGAAAAACAAATATTTTCTTGTGTGAACTAAATTTTAATTACACCATTAAAAGAAGGAATGTTTGAGATTTCATTTCAAAGGTAATGAAATATTTTATTGATTTTACAGTATGCAAATAAATGTTGCTTAATCCAAAAGATAACAAATAGAAAACAGTAATAAAATCAATATTTTTCTTAAGAAATCATTTAATAAATATATTTCAACACTACATTTTCCACAGCCCTTCCATCTTTCCCTTCCTAAAGCTCACCCATTGAAAATACAATGAATAACTGAAAGGTAATAAATATAAATAGTAATGTCATAAACACTTGTTTTGAGCACAAACTCTCTTTTTGGTTTTTATAAAAAGAAAATCCACCTTCTCAAAAAGAATTTACATTTTGCCCTTGAGTTTCCATCTCAAGATCTCTACTATTCCTACCATAACAGTGCTGTAGAGTGAAACAAGTGAACGTTGATTTGCAGTAATTTGTGGTTCATTGCAGTAAAAGCTGAACAGAATCCAGACCTGTCTCTCTCCGATTGGAAGGGACCTCCCCTTCATGGGGTGAGCTAGTGTCTTCTTTCCTTAGTGTGTCTGGATTCAATGTGTTGTTTTTAGGAGTACCGAAAGGCTCTAGAGATAAATAAGAAAATGCTTATTCTACAATTAAACAATTAAAATTCCCACTATTTTAACCTTTCTTTACTATTGGTTTTCAGACTACTTCTCCATATTGGTCCATGACAACATAAGCATCACTAAATAATTAACTCATTAAGGAGTGCCAGTTTGGTGCATTGGTTAAGGCACCAGGCTAGAAACTGGGAAACTGTGAGTTCTAGTCCCACCTTAAGCATGAAGCCAGCTGGGCAACCTTGGGCCAGTCACTCTCTCTCAGCTGTAGGAAGCAGGAAATGACAAATCACTTCTGAAATCTTGCCAAGAAAATTGCAGGGACTTGTTCAGGCAGTTGCCAGGAGTCAACACTGACTCAAAGGTACACACGCACACACCACATTAAGATCATTTCCCCTGCCTCTTCAATGGGCTATGTCCCTATCAATTACATGATGCTGTGCCTCAGCAATTGCTGGTTTGGGGTTATGTGCTTTTATTTCAGAGGCAACCATGCTTTCATCGTTGCACTTAGCAGTTTTAGGTGAGGAGACAAGGAGGTGGGATAATAAAGACGCCAGAAAGGGTTGGATCTCCTATCAGGTTCTGCTGCAATGTCTGCCCACTTTCTCTTTCGGAATCTCAGGCTGCACAGCAACATGTCAGGTGCAATTTAAAAGATGGTCAGAATGCAAATAGACACAGGACCAGTGGGCCAGAGACCGAATGGATTTAAGAATTGGGACGGTGTTGACTTCATGATAGTCATCATCCATGGGTGGCAGGCCTAAGTGTTCCTATTAATCTGAACATCTGATTATCTGAAGGCTGCTGACATCTATCTAGCCACTGGGACAGATGATATTGTAACAATTAAGACTTAGCGGTGCACATTTAAGAAAAGCAACTGATTGATTAGGAAGAAGGCAACTCTGAGAGTACCTATTTCCCTTTCAATTAATATATGTATTAAAAAAAGGAAAACATGTCCTCCATTTTCCAAATCTTTTATGACTCTTAAATGGTTATCCAAAAGCAACACAGGAAACAGCTTGTGTTTTCTCAGACACATCTCACTATATTGTTTGGAATGTTCTTTCACATAAGAGAGCATAAAAATTCTCTCCCCAATCCAGTACACTCATTCATTTCAAATATAAACCAAACAGAGACATGACATTTCTTCCTCCATGCATGCATACTGTATTGTACGGATACATCATCACAACAGTCACAACTGTGAATCCAGATCAGCCTTAAAGTTCTCGTTGACCAATCTAATATAGATTGATTTTTCTCAGTTCTGGAAATTATGTAGAATATTTGTGACAGATGAATGTCTGGATGTGTCCCAAGTTCCTAAAGGACAGAGAGATCATGGCAAGATTTGGACTTCAGTTTGAAAGCCATATTCTTGTTTTTTCTGGCTACAATTTTCCCCCAGAATCGCCTGGCCTTCTTAGGGATGCTTTCTCTTCTCTTTTGATATGCCAGCCTCTTTTCATTCTTTTCTTTGCTGTCCCTTCTCAGACGAACTTGACGTACAATCCCTTCAAACAGCTCCTTCACGTTATGTTGTACAGCTGCTGAGGTCTCAATGAACTTACAGTCAAACACGACTGCACAGGCTCGGCCCTCTGGAAAAGATTTGAAAACAATATAAGTCAAAAGGATTACTTAGAAAGCACAGATATTTGCATATTCTTTAGAAAACAAAGAGCAAATTAATTAGAAGTTCAAAAAAAGAAAGAAAGAGCTGGTAATGGCAATTCAACAAACTGCCTCTTCTAATCCTATGGACTGAGACAGTGTATCAACTTCTACTACCTGGTGGCTTGAGATATGATATATAGTTCCCATCATCCCCAGCCTGCCTAAGCAATGGGAAAACCTGCTTTATACAATATAATCAGGAGAAAGTGGAATTGCCATGCAGTAGAAGTAATCAAAGTTCTGCAACTATTTAATGTGGCCAGTATTAGCCATCAACTCTATCAGATATAAATTTATTTATTTATTTATCATTTAGTATAATTTCACTTCTTTGTGCCATTCATGAGAATGGCTAAAGAGTTATGGAGGACAGTGAATCTCAGCTTTTGAGATCTCACTAAGGTTGCCCCCCAGTATTCATGCTTGTTTTCATACTCTTAAGGACTACAACTATGCTTTATGAAAAATGAATCCATCTCCTTTCAGAATAAGAGCAAATGTCCTGCTTATAGTGAAAGCACAAAACACAAATTATCGCTCTCAACTTTTCTGTTTCATGAAAGCATCCAGACAAGGAGATCCTACAAGCTCCTTAAGCAATTTATTCCATTGCTAAATTTTTGTAATAAATTAATCTCTCCCAATGTTTCTCTTTATTTAAGGCCAGGATGCTAACAAGTTTTCAAAGTATGCTCATAAATTATCCATCTTTTGCAATTTTAAGACATTCCTCATTATATATAGATTTTGAGCATAGTTTGGCTCTTTAAGAGCAGCCAAGGTATGAAAGAATTTGAGTAATACAACAAAGTCTATTAAGATGAATGTCCACTGAAGGTATTACAAGAAGCATTCTTGGATTAGTACCACTGTTAACTTAAAAGCGTGTTTTTCAAACTTGGCAAGTTTAAGATGTGTGGACTTCAACTCCCAGAATTCCCCAGCCAGCAAAGCACTGACTGAAAAGACAAGAAGCAGTGGGAGGGGGTGAAAGAATGTTATCCTGACTGAAGTCCGCTTCAGCAGTGCCACCTCGCTGTGATGTGAAGGCCACTTTATTTTCATTTTTGTCCTGGCTGCTACAAAGGAGAGTATTATTTCTTTCCCCACTTTCGTGAAGGAGGAAAAAGAGAAAGTCGACAGTGGCATGATTGGGGTTGGTACCACTGCAGACAAACTTGGGAATTACACACACACAGACGCATACACACGCACCCAAGAACTGTTTATTCCTCTGTTACCATCCTCAGGGATATAAAAACCAAAAATACCAGAGAGACAGTAACCAGAGAGGCCCTGTTTTTTTATATGGCCTTTCTAGAGCCATCTCAGTAACAGCCCCAACATAAGGGGCTATTGTCCTTCTGGTTAGTAGTTCCTATAACATGGAGAGAGTTAGTTTAATTCTAGCCAGGATGGTGTCTGATCAAGACTAAATTTAGGGTCAATTAATTCACTTTTGGAATTTAAAACACCTCCACCCACCCCCATTCATAATTGTTTCAAGTGTTGTGCAAACAAGCCATAACGTAGATATCCTTAAAGTTACAACATCTAAAGAGTTGAAGCAAAAGCAGCTGAAGAGGAACATCCTTACCTGAAACAGAAACTTCACGGCACCTTACTAGATCACTTTTGTTGCCCACTAAAATAATAGGAAGGTCTTCTGTTTTGCGTGCCCTGCGGAGCTGAATCCTTAGCTCAGATGCTCTTTCAAAGCTTGCCCGGTCCGTGATGGAGTAGACAATCAAATATGCATCTCCAACTTTCATGCAGTGATCTTGGAGCCATCCTTTTTCATTCTATTCAGATAAAAGAGATTTGGAGTCAGAAATTCTAGGCTTCATATCTGGAAGCCCAGCATCTACAGGAGAAAAAATAAATATTGCTGGAACTGGAACACAGGTTATTATAGTCATAAAGATTTCATTATTTTAGGTGCATCGTTCACATTTGTAAACAAGCATTGCATTATGAGGCCACTGGAGGTCAAGCTTGCATATAAAATTTGCTTTTGATTTGCAAACTCTCTTTTTTGCTAAAGTCAGACAGGTAAAATGCATTCTGCACTTCAGTGGTATTCAACTTATCTTGGGTTCTATCTTACAGTTAGAATTTTGAAAGCATCTGATGGACACACTCACAAAATGGCTGCTGTAGGAGATTCACCTATTTATGAAATTGCTGCCATGATTCCCAGAGTATTTCTTTGTGTTCACCAGCAATACTCCTTGTTTGTTCTAGCAATGCATGGCTACAAGATAATCAGTGAATTGGATCCAGGTGTAGATATGTATAGTGGGTGGCATAAATGTCCTTCCTTGTCCTCTTAATCAAATCATCTCTATAAACCCCTGAAAATGTTCGGCTTATAGAAGGCGTTCCACTCAATTAGAATCCTCTCCTCTTTGCAGCATACCATACCCCTTTCCACCCATACAGCAGAATTCTCATACACTCTGCTTGGGGATGGATTTGGGGATGGACTGTGAAAGAGAGGACCTTGATTCTATCAGCCTTGCTAAATGTGTCCAGATCTTAAGACAAGTCAACCAATTATTTGTTTATTGGGACTTAAGTTGCAACCCATAGCCCAGTTAAACATAGTCCTTGGATTGCAACTAGCCAAGACCAGTTCAGAAAACCATTAGACATATGGTCCTACAAATGTTACTCCTCATCTTTCAACATGAATGTGGTGGTGGTTTAATGACCACATATAATAGGGATCAAAACATACTACTGCAAGTAGTGACTGTTTCCCCAATGCAATCAGTGATGAGTAATCTCAGCAGGTGGTAAGACTAGGGAGTGGGAAACTACTAGGGAACCTCAAGACTGTATGCTGGCCTGGTAAGTCAAAAACAAATCCCAGAAGAAGTGAATGGCAAACTATTTCTGTATTTGACATGGAAGGATCCATGTAGTGGTCAGAAGGCAAGCTCAATTCGAGAGCATCTTTACCTTTAATAATTCCACTGAGCTCAGTCTTAATTTATACCAAGTTGTCTATTAAAATAGGGATAAGCAAGGTAGTTTCAGTAAGGAAATACAGTATTATAAATATATATATACACACACACCACTCACACACATACCAATACACCAAATATCAAGCAGCAGTACTTAAAAATAAATAAAAACTTGTTTATACTCTTGAAAAACAGGGAGGGGACCAGACACTACCAAAGTGGGAGAAAATTTACAGCCACGGAGCTATGTCTATGCCGCCCAGAGTTGCTCTGTGTGAGATGGATGGCTATATTAATGTGACAAATAAATAAATAAATAAATAAATAAATAAATAAATAAATGACAAAAAATAGCAGCCTGATCTAAGATTTAGATAGAACTGAGACCTATCCAAAACTGGTCTCAAAGGCTATCCAGGCTATCCAAAACTGATCTCAAAGGCCACCTAGGTTCTTCACAGGGCACTATGGGCCATCACAAACTTCAGGAACAACAGAATAAGTACTTTCAGGCTGGAAGCCTACACACAGTGTCCAATCCACCAGCTGTTTATTTAATTGTTTAATGTAGCCTCTCCCTCACAAAGTAAAAGTTCACCCAAGAAGTAACTGATGGTCACAGAGGATCCTTGAAGCTTGGCTTCTCAATATTTCCAACTGTACATGCTGCTATATTCAGGGACTTTTAAAAAAAATGCATTTATGGAACTACATATTTCATTCAGCAAAATTAAAGAATTAGAATACATGCATAAACACGGGGCAGCATTTGAAAAACTTCTGCCTGGCCAAATGATTTTGCACACTACCTTGTTCTCCCACATGTCCAGAAGCACTATTGTTGCACTTTCACCATCCACTTGCAAGGTTCGTTCATAGGTGTCTTCTAGAACAGAGAAGGACAAAAATATGTGTCACTCCTTTTGTTCTCCTTGTCACAATACAATGAAGATGTTAGGCAAATTATAGGTTAGGAACCTGAAGATTCCCTCTTTGACAGAAATTAAATAAATTATCCATACATTGTTGACAGTGGATGCCATACCTAAAGAGAAAAGTCAATGTTAAACTATTTCAGGTTAGAATAATTAGGTAGATTTTTAAGTTTAACAAAACTCTTCATTACATTATATCTCTCCATTACAACCAACAGCATGTACTCTGTAACAAATCAGGAATAAATCACTTTTCTGCATTGAGAGCCATTCTTGACACTTGAGTAGCCTACAAGGAGATACACACTAGTATCTGGAGATAAGGATAAATCAACTTTCAATTTCATCTTGTTTATATGTAATTAAAATTAAAGTATGTGATGATGTTTTCTTCAATTCCATTCAAAAACATAATGGAATAAAAGAAGTGTTTGGAGGTCTCTGAAGCTAAAGCTGTGAGAGGCCCTCTGCCTGTCAATTTTTACGTCTCAGATTTCAGTGCTCCTGTACTAAATGAACTCTGAAAAAAGATATGGCATGATCTATTTTCATTTGATTCTATCATAGTGAGGAAAATTATCTCAAGAATTCTCTTGGTTGCATTTGAAATAAATTATCTCCAGATACCAGCTCAGATATCATAAATTCACTGCTGTGTGCCACCCAGATCTATCAACAGGGCAGCAATGCTTATCTTGACTGTATTCCATGCCTGCTCTTTCCACCCCAGGCCATCACACCAGACAAACGTTAGGAAAAAACAACAACTTGTTACATCTGACATTCTTATATCAGACTCTGGCAAAGATCTGAATGTTTCCATGAGTTCCAGAATTGTGTAATTTCCATGGTAGAAAAAATGAAGCCTACAAGAAGAATGACCGCATTCACATTTTGCTGGAGCTCTCTTTCTCCTAAGTGGGATAAGAGTGGAAAGAAGATCCAAATGAAGAAATAAAGCAAAGATGAACGTTTGACCCCCATGGGAGCTGCAGGCAGCCTAGAGACTCCAGCTAGGCTTAGTAATGGAAAATATTTGTTTTCACTCAATTTATGGGTGAGCAGGCACTACAGCTGTAAGCCACTTAAATCAAACAGCTTTGTTCTGGAGAAGAAGTATATAGATGCAAGGCAGCTGGATTTTTTGAGAAAGAGTTTGGCAGTTACTACATAAAATGCCAGATTGGCAATACCTCTTCCTTACATACTTTTATGCTTTTTAAAGGATATCACAAGGGTGATAAAATTCCTGATGTAGCAAAAGATTGCTTGCATTTCATCTGTGATCCAGTTTGACTATTTTTACAGCAACTTTCCCAAACTCCAATATCCTCCAGATATGTTGGGGCTACAAAATCCCAACATAAGTTATACATGTAATAAATAAAATGCTCTGCTACTGAATTTATGCCATTGTTACTGCAGTGCCAACCCGTAAAATTTAAAATGATGCCCATCCACCATAAAAGGAAGATAGGACCTTAATTACTATATTTTTAGCAAATCCATTTTAAAAGTAAATTATTGGGAGGGGATGTACACTGTATGGTACACTGTGCACCCCCTTTTTAGTGAAAGGAGACTTTGAAGTGTGATATAAATATTGATTTATTGAAATGATCAACTGATGCTTTAAAAGCTGCTGGCCAATTAATTGAGGCTATCTTTTCATTAACTAAAAGGCTTTGAATTACTGAATCTACCCCAGCCTCCTCCTGCCTGTTGCTTTCGGGAATGATGAAGTACAATGCCCATCATGCTCAACCAAAGAATGGCTGGCTTAGGATTATTAAGGTTGTAGTCCAACACAGCTAGAGGACAGCAGGTTCAGGAAAGCTGAAGGGAGTGATTAGTTAGTTAAATGTGGTAGCTCTGCTGTTAACTATGGATCCAACTATGGCATAATATGGGGAAGAAAACAAAGTTAGCTTCTCTGTGGTTTCCCTTTCTAAAGACTGAATCATCACTTTGTCATGTGGAACTTGATGAAGGTAACAGTTTATCAGCTATTCTTGAACCAAAACAAAAATGATGCCTTGAGGTAGGGTAAAACTATTCTGAATTCTGTAAATAACTTCAGCAACTCTAATTTACAAAAAATATTTCTTACAGTACACTCTAATGTAGGGTTATTTGAAAGTGAGTCTTACACTTCACTTAAGTTAAATGTTCTCATTTGCATTGTTCTCACCTTAAGATTCTGTGCTTGTTACATTGCACTTAGAGGAACATTTCTAACTAGACATTTATAAAATTACACTACAGCAGTGCAATCCTTTACATGTCTACTCAGAAATAAGCCAATTACGTTCATTGTGCCCTACTCCCAGGTACATGACAATGCAATTTCAGTATCCATTTCTGAATTCACTTGCAATGCTCTTTTAACATAACCTCTTATTTTGCTTGTTTCTAATTCTAGTCCAAGTCCTGGGACAGTCCTCTTAATAAAGATATTAAAAAGTATTTTAATGCCAAGTTTGCTTTCTGATCTGATCCCATTTCATTCTTCCTTAGTTCAAGTGAAATTAATAATAATGTGTAGAAATGTTATTTTTCTCATATGAATATGCTTCTTAAACCTACCAACTGCTTCTGTACCCACTCATCCTAATTTGCCTATCACCCATATCTATAATGTGTATCCTTGGAAAACTCATTAATGATGCTTTTTGCTTATGTTGGTCTATAATATGTTGAAAATATAATGAAGTAGCTGGGATTCTGTACATGTTGAATCTTAATAATAATTGTCCAGGAGCCCTAACTCCTATACAGCAAATGTCAGCCGTTTTCATAATCATCACCCTTAGGACACGAGTTGAAGATTATGTCCCCAAAAATGAAACACATAAGCAAATGGCACTTTAGTTCTTAGGTAACCAAGGAATCCCTATTTACTTTCTTCAGAAGCATTTTGGTGGATTTAAAGCTGTATCAGCAAAAAAAAAAAAAAACCATTGGTTTTGGTTTCTCTGTTTCTCATTTATTGCACATCAGTCAAGTTCAGCTTTTCTCAGACTTGCACATCTGTCCAGTTTGGTTTGTTGAACTTGAAAACTTTTCTTTTAAAGTTTGCATTACATTTGGATTGATTGGAAGTGCATTTCTTCAAGCATAGATATTTTGTTCACATTGTAATCTGATGTACACAATTTCTTCAGGCAAGTTTCCCTTATGTCATGCATTTTTGCACATTACGTTTACAAATATATACATTATTTGACAGACATTTCCCTAGAGTACTTTTTAAAAAAAAAAGGCATACTGCATTGGGAGCTCAGTTTGTGTATTCATTAAAAAAAAGGAAAGGAGAGCAAAATTAGACTAAGTTGGCATTCCAATGCAAACTCAAAATGATGCCCTCCCACTCCCAACTGGCTTTGCCACCTTCCTTAATAGATAACCACATACTGAAATCACTTTGGAGGCCAGAGAATTCCACTTCAAGATCAGGAACTCCAACATTATGTGCTTTACTTTTCCTTGTCCCCAGCTGCCTCTCACCCAAGAGGTCTCAACTAAGCCTGGGCCGCAAGGAACAAAACTACCTACCTCCCAGCACTTCACAGTCGCTGTCCAGGCTGTCATGCACACCTGCAAAGACATTTGCAATGGTGGTTTTGCCAACCCCTTGCTCTCCTATGAGAACAACTCGGTAGCAGGTGTTTCCCGACTCGGAGGAGATGACAGAATCGGAGGACTCTGATGACCAGCTTCTGCGGTAATACTCTTGGGGATTGAGGGTGCACCTTTTCTGGTGGTTTGCCTCTTGAGGCTCCTTCTGCACTACCAGATGCTTCCCATCTGCTGGAACACTCCACCGTTGTTGCTGAGGCTGCAAGGCACCACAACTGCCGCTGCTGCGACGCAGGGTTACATTGTTCAGGGTCATGGCTCTCTCCCTTCCCTACCTGAAAACAGCAACAGTGAGATGGTAAGTATCACAAGTACCATAGGTTGCATAGGTTATCTGTCTGATGTGGAGGATTCCCAGCCTGTGCAAACCTTGATGAGCATTCCTGAATGCAGCTCCAAAGGGCTAAAATAGGAGAAAGATGCCCATAGCAGTGGAAATTCCTCTTTAAGAGGCAGCTGAGGCTTTGGGAATGATAATAACTGCTCACCAATAATGATACTTCAAACCTGAATTCAAAAACTGGATTGTTTCCTCCACCTGATCATGTGATTTGTGGTTGACCATTGCTTTCAATCAGTGTGTGGATCAAGTGACAGTACAGTTATCATCTAAAAAAGCCATTCAAAGCAACCAAGAAACTTGGTTTTACTGCAAAGGAGAGGCACTTAGTAGAAATCTACTCATCCTGGAGGAAGAGGCCAAGAAGGTCATCTTCAACAATCCTGCCTTCCTTCTGCTCCCCTGGGCCTCCTAAAGAGCAGCTTTGGAGCCCCACATAGAAAACCGGGGGCTGAAGAAGAAAGAGAGGATGGCAAACATCAGTATCTCATCCAGTGGCCCTTAAGAAACAGTAAAAGTATACCTACGTTTCTTCCTTTTTGCCCTGAAAGGATCAGTAACAACACAAAATCTTGTTATGTGGAGGAAGAAATAGTCCAAAAGAGTAACCACGCTATGTTTGTGGTGTAAGAATTCCCTTCTACTGTAAAAGGCTCTAATTCATCTCAAGAGCAGTACGCTATGACAATCTTCTCTTGTCTAAAGATGGTTTATAAATGCACTTTGCAGGAAGGATTGTTCATCACTGGTGAGAGGCAAAGCTGTGAGGCAATTCTTGAGGGCCAGAAACATTTGCAGCTACCATTTTTAGGAAAGTTGCCTTGATGCTCACCAGCTCTGGTAATGACAGCTATTTAGACATTATGCTTATTCAAGCTAAAGCCTGGTTCTTTCTCAGCTGACATCACACCTTTAGAGCTAACAGGCAGAACAGAACAGAAGGGCTGAAGGCCCTTTTCCAAAGTGAACATAACCGCAGATCAGCTCTCCTTCAAAGTGAGCATTTGTTCCATCATTCAATCTCGCTCCCTGATGAGAGGAGCGTGACTGAACGATCACAGGGAATCCCACCACTTTGGAAACGCCTGCAAGCAAAGCAGCAGATTACCCTCTCCCTGACATTTCAAATACAAACATTTCTCTACCATTCGCAGCTCCCTGCAGAAGCCCCAACTTTGAGATGCCCAGCGATGCAAAGGAATGCTGTACAGAAAGGCACAGTACTGACATGCAAAATGAGGCCATCCATTTTCTGCTCCACTCATGCCAACTTTCACAAGCAAGGATAATACCAAACTCCTTCTGCGTGTTGAACACACTCACTTCTCTATCGTTCTTCCAGTCCACGATATCACCTCTTAGAAACAGACAGAATCAAATTCATTTGTGTAGCACAAGGTGGTCTTCTTCTCACTATGTGCAGCCAACTGGACTGCTAATCATCTGAATTTAATGAAGAAATACAGCTAGCTCTGATGCCACTTTTAACTGCTATTTCAAACAACACTTCTTTCTTTCTTTCTTTCTTTCTTTCTTTCTTTCTTTCTTTCTTTCTTTCTTTCTGCTCTCTACATACAAGTCTGCTTTGGTGCTAAAGAAAAGGCTTAATTAATGAGTTCTTGTTAAAGAAACACTACCTTGCTGGGTGGTTTTTTTTCCTAACTGTCTGTTCCAGCCAGTCGACGTTCTTGATCACACTCCCTTAGTTCTCAAAGCGTGGAACACCAAGTGAATCTCCCACAGAAAATCCTTCTTCTGTTCACGGATTGCCTCTCTTAATTCTTTCTCAGCAAACCTGGTTTATATTAAGCCCATCTGATCAGAGACAGGGCTTTTCCGTGACGTCGTTGGCCTGTCCACCCCAAAGCCAGCCCCCATCTGGACGGAAGCAGGCACACAGAAAAGGGGGAGGGGGAGGAGAGACGTTACTGATGCTAACAAAATAATTGATGTGTAGTTACTTTTCTTTTTTCTGTTCTTTTTTTTAAAATCTTCATTATGCATGTTAAGAGCCAGTCCTGCAAGAGAAAAGCAGAAAAGAGGGACATACACACGCTCACAACTCCTTTGTGTGTGGGGGGGGGGGGGGAATGCTGCTGAAATGAACAGTCTGTTTGAATCCCTTTGGATTCATTAATGCAAAAAATGTTGCACATATCTTAATTGCCTGGAAGTTGTGCTGTATGGGAAATCGCTCTCTTTAAAACAGGGGAAAGCCATTTGCCCACAAATACCTCCAGGCTCCATCGTTTTAACTATTATTTTATTTTTTAAAAGTAATAGGAAGGTGGTATGCTGGAAAACAAAGCTTCAGCCTTTGGCATGTAATTTACTTGCAGAAACATCTTTGAACCACAATAGTCCCATGGAGATGGTAAAAAGTACCTTGGCTTCTGGTAACTGGGTGCAATCTAACCTCAAAATCTATACTCACTGCAAATCAAATTAAATCTTTATTGTGGCCATAGACCAGCATAGGGAAGGTGGGGTACAGTCAATAGAAAAGCATAAAGGATACAACTAGAGTAAAAATAAAACACAAGAAAAATTATGAAACGCTAGAAGCTATACAAGTAGTCCTTGGTTAGTGACTGCCTCGCACAGAGACCATTCAGTTATGATGGTGATGAAGAAGTAATTTTGCAACCAATCCTCGCATTTACGACCTTCTCAGGTCTGTAAAGCAAAAGAAAGCTGAAGTAAGATCATAAGTACCATCATGGTTTCACTTAGCAACCACTTCACTTAACAACCAACTTGCCAGTCCCAACTGTGGTCGCTAAACGAGGACTACCTGTAAAAAATATATTAATTAAAAACTAAAAATATATATAAAAAGCAAGAATCTAAAAGAAGGAGTACAAGCATCAGATGGGTGTATGGAGCATAAAAGGTTATTATGTGGAAGACTATCTATCAAGTTACAAAGCACTCTAATATGGCAAATTAGGTGCTCATTAAATCTAGTTTATAGCACAGGTCATCGTGTGGCGAATTTACCACTGCAAAAGATATATATTTACTATAAATCTATTTAACCTGATCTTATATCCATACATGCAATGCTATAAATTATTTTTTTAAAGAAGCTGTTACAGCTGTCACTTGTTTTTTTAATACAAAGGCTAATACAATGAAAACATGTTGCTCAACGGGTGCCTGGTTCTTTGACTAACTTCGTAGCTGGCTTTATTTCTGGCTCTGCTCAACTTCTCAGAGATCTCCTGGCTGGTGGCAGATAGATTGCCTTGTTCTGCAGTTTCTGTTAATCTGAGTCTCCTTTAATGATTCCCACTTCCAAATGTTAAACATGACAGTGGGCCAAGCTTTGCATCAGAAGAGGCAAGAAGTTCATAGGCACTTGGGTCACTAAGAGACTAAAGAGTACATTGGAGGAGAAGATGGGAATTGTACTAAACATTTCCAGAAATCATGAAGTACAGTTTATAGATTGGGTTTTGGAAAAAGTCAACCTGCACATTAGGTTAAATGCAGGACATGCACTTGAGTTTTTTGACTATAAAAGAAACAGAGCGAGAGAAAAATCTGATCTGAAACTCAAGCATGAGGAGTGGGAAGGGGTAACCTCCCACCCATGGTTGTGCAATCATCACCAAACCTGCTATTACCTGATATGTAGATTTGTTTCTTATACACTGCTAAGCCTTTTTTTTTTTTAATAACAGGTTTTTTTAATAAAGTACATTTGGCTGAGTTCACACATGTTATGCCCAAAGTAGACAAAGAGAAGCTATTTTCCTCTTCCCAAAATACTACAACCAGAGCTCACCCAATGAAATTGAATCCTGGAAGAATTAGGACATGCAAAAGGATATTTTTTTTATATACAACATGTAATTAAGCTTTCAACCTTGCTACCATGAATTGTGGTGCTGGCTACCAGCTTGGACGTCATGGGGACGTCATGGAAGTCATGGGGATCACTGGCTATTAGCCTTGATAGTGATGGGGCAGCCTCTGAAGCCATCTGCTGAAATACTAGAGGGCTTCCTAGTGCAGTTGGTTGGCCACTGTGAGAACAAACTGCTGAACTGTTCAGGGGTCAGGGGTCTGATCCAACAGGGCACTGCTTATGTTCTTATGTTCTTATATGGTGACTTAGTAGGATGTACAAGCCCAGCTGCATTCTTAATTTTACCCAGAAAAAAACAGAAAGAGAAGAAAGAGCAGGAGAAATTTTAATGCATGTATGATAGCTCAGTGAATTGGCCCCAAAGCTCTAAACAACATGGAAAAAATAGCTATGAACTGGTAAAGGTACAATGTGGAAAGTGAGTCCTCTCACATATATCTTGATTCTAGGCATGTTGGCTCTGAAATAAATCTCACTGGTTGGGTTCACACAGCACACTAAATCCAAGTTAATGATACACAGCATGTATCAAAACACAGTTTTGACTTTGTATACCATGAGTACAAATACATTTTAGGTAGATTTTTAAAACAAACTCAAGCAAAATTACTTCAAAAGTCCAAACAGTGCGTGAGATAGATGTAGGCATCTCAGATTTCTTTGCAGGATGCCAAGAAATACAAAACTATAATAATGGAAGTTTTAGGGATCTGTGTCAGCTAAATGGAAACTGAAAGTACCAATAATAGTGCTGGAAGTTTAGAAAGGCAGAAAACATGCCACAAATAAGAACTAACTCTATGAGTGTTTGGACAATGACATAAATCCAACCAACCACTGAATTTCTAAGGCTCAAAAGAATTAATGCCCAGACATACCCTAATTCTTTTGGCTGAATAGACATAGCTAGGGAATGTTTCCATATGCTGTCTTTATCCATGGAGGCTGATCAGTCTCTTACAGAAGAAATGTTCTCAAGCTGAGAAATCTTCAGGTTACTCTTGAATTGACATGTCCCAGTTGCCCAAAGGATAATAGGATGGAGATGAGAAACTGGTAGTCATGGGTCTAACCTAAAGATTTCTTGTGGTCAATTAAAATTGGACTGGAATATCTCACCTTGAGTTCCTGAAGGAAAGATGGGATTAAATCAAATAATTAACAATACAAGAGCTAGTTTGGTGTAGTGGTTAAGGCACAAGGCAGAAACTGGGAGACTGGGTTCTAGACCTCCCTTAGGCACGAAGCCAACTGGGTGACCTTGGGCCAGTCACTTTCTCTCAGCCCTGGGAAGAAGGCAATGGCAAACTACTTCTGAAAATCTTGCCAAGAAAACTGCAGGGACTTGTCCAGGCAGTCACCAGGAGTCAAGACTGACTTGAAGGCACCTCCCACCCCCCAAAAAACAACAAAAATAACAATAAGCCAAGGAGCAATTGGCATAGCTTCAGAGTCAATCCAATTATTTTAAGGATAGAATAACCACATAAATGCATTAACAATTATAGTACTGTTTTCAATATGCTAAAGTAGTTATTTCAACATAAAATAATTGAACTGACAACTAGTCACTCAGTATTTTATTTTTTTTTTACAGTAACTAGCAGCAGTCTAGCATTTCAAACAGGATTCTCTCACAGTGTTACCCAGAGACAGCAGCTCTTGATGTAAGGTAAAATATCACCACCATCTCAGCTGCCATCAAACAGTAGGACTGGTTCAATGAGATACTGACTTTCCACTTCCTAGGCTGAAAAGGGGATGGGTCAGACTTGTATACCCATGTGCTCTTTTAAGAAGAAAGCAATGATCTCATCAATTCTTTGAGCTTAAGAAAAAGATGAACAGAGGCAGATCATTAATCCATCTACCTTAGTGTTATACACACCAATGGCACTTCCACACTGCCACATGATTTCTCTCGCCAGACTCCGAGAAAAACAATTTAAAGCTGACCCACATTTCTTTCACTGCAGCCAGTCTTGAAGTACTGAGAGCCCCACACTGGTCCTTCCAGCAGATCAGTTTTGGAAAACAACTAAAAGAGGAAAATCTCTAACAGATCATATTTTTAGTGCATGTATTTCTCCAACTGCTGTTATTATTGTTTATTTATTGGACCAATAAAGAAATATATTTTAAAGTATCTTTGGTTCCTTAGTTGGCTGCTTATTGAAGCCAAAACAGCATAAGAAAGAGGAATTTATCTGTACTTGAGGAAACTCCAAGGTTTGCAGAAATACAAAAATATATTTTGGGAGGTGAATTAAAAAGAAAAAAAACTTAAGGGAAAGGGATACTGTTATGGGGTGAACTGCAAAAAAAGATGGAAGGGATAACTTTTGTTGAGATTTGAAACAGAAGAGGAACAAGTTAAAGAATGCATGATAAAATGAGCTAAGAATTTTAGTTACAGAATACAGATGGATCGATGGGAGAGGATATGTATAAAAGGACTGAAGTTCACATTGTGCTATACTTCAAAGGAGAATTTTTACAAAATGATATACTGTTGGTATATGACACCAGAGAAATTATCTAATATATGTAAACATACTTCTAGTGAATGCTGGAAATGTGCAAAACATGAAGGGACATTTTACCGTGCATGGTGGACTTGTGAAAAAGCAAAAAAAAAAAAAAAAAGGAAAAAAA